TTTTAATCTCATAAATTTTTAAGTAATTCTTCAAAGTCTAATAATGTTTGAGAATTTATAATATCAATATCTGTTATCATATCTATGTCTGTTCCAAAAGGTATTTCATATTTTGAGATACTTTTCTTTCTTTTTTCCAATTTATCTATTATATCTTGTATATCTTTTATGATTATTGACCTTACAATTCCTTTAGCGAAATTTTCTAATAAGTTTTCTTTAAAACATTTTAATATTTCTTGTGATGCATATAATTGTTCTTGATATCCTATCTTATCAATTTCTTTTTCAAATTTAATTTCTTTTTTATTTTTAACAACCTTTTTTATATTATATGGTCCTCTCTTATATTTGGGCTTTTCCATTTTATAATTATTCATTAATAATTTTTACAAATTTATTTGTTAGATTTTTTAAGGACTAAAAAAGAAACTTTTTATTATATAAATGGTTGGTTGTTAAATTTTTCCAAGGATATTTTGGGTAGTTTCAAATTTCTAAAAAAATCAAAGGTTATTTTGGAAAAGGTTATATACTATTTGGGCCATTTTCATGTATATCCCTTACATAAAAGAGAGATATGAGAATGGAGAACCCGTGAAGTGAGGGTTACCGTTTGGTAAGGGATTAAAATTTATATTTTAATTTAAATTAAAATCAATAATTAATTTTAATTACATATGAGATTCATTATTTTTTTAATTATATATTTTATCAATTTCTTTTATAAAAATATTGTAAAATCTGATTTTAATCACTAAGAAATAGAAAGGGGGGTTTCTTCTCTAGTTCAAAAGGGAAAATTTCTCTATTGGTCACTGAACTTTGATTTGATTCACTTTTATCTCCCTATTTACACTCTTGTTTCAATTCTACTATTCTGTCTTTAATTGTGAACAAAACTAAATGAAAGGAGAATCTAGACTGCACAAACGATTTTTCCTTACTGGAAAATCATAGAATTAATTCATCCAGGTTAGGGTTAACCATTAATTTTGATTATGACTAAAAATGAAATAGTTAAATTGAGAAAAATATAAGTTGAATTATATAATAAAAATGAAGTCAAGGGACCAAAATGAACTAAAATGAATAACCAAGGATCTAATTCCACTATATAAATATCCACTAGTTGATAAATTTTCATCCTTCAAAAATAATAATAAATCTCTGGGGTTCTTCTCCGGCAGCTCCATATTTCTCTCTCTAATAACTTCGCGTCAGAACTAATTTTTCAGGTATACTTGATATTT